GAATTTTTTAATATTTATTTTTTAGTTATCGGTGAACACAGTATCTTTGTTTGTATGTGGTGCTGAGGATTGAACCCGGGCCGCACTCATGCCAGGCAAGCGCGGTACCGCTGAACCACATCCCCAGCCCTTTGTCTGGCTTCTGATGCAGAAGACTTCACGTCACAGGCCAGAGACAGCACTCCTTAGGAGGGCTGCTTAATCTTTGGTCCACGCCTGGTGTCTTGGAACATGACTGGTAAATTGTCCCCGATGCTGATGTAAACCTATCGCTAAATGATTGGGGTGTCTCATTGTATTCCAACTGTTTGTAAAAATGTTGCAGTTTGTGTCGCACACATGCCTTCCTTCTGGGAGTCTGGAATTTTGGTGTGTGCCAGGCAGAGGCTGCCTGCTTGACAAGCCCCACTGAAGAGCTGGCATGCTGAGTTGCTAATGAATTCCCAGGTCCATCCCTGCATTTTTGTTGCTGGGGGGCAAAGTACGCTCTGGGTGACTTTTCACAGGGGAGAGGGAGAACTAGAAATGAAGAGAGGGAGAGAAGAGAGGAGAGAGCATAAGGAAGCTTCCAGACCCTGCCTAAATCTTTTTCCCATAGATCCCACTGTGCATCCTTATTACATTGCTGTAAGAAATCTTAGCCATGAGAACAACTGTGTTCTGTGCCCCAGAATCCCTCCTGGCAAATCTCTGAATGAAGGGGTGATCTTGGGACTCCTGATCATCCTCTCTCCCCATTAGTTGCTATGAAATTCCAGAAATATTGTTTGATGGCATCTTCCTCAAAGATGCTGATATAATCCCTCATCTTTCTGTTTTCTCATGTATCCTACGCATCTTTCAACTTAAGATTTTCCTGAGGAAATAAAGTTTACTTAGTTTATGACTATTCTTTTACTGCCCTAAAGGAGATTGGTCTATTCTGTTAAATTTTTCTTTTGTGTGTTATATTGTGTGCCTGTATGAATATATAACAACAAATCCCACCATATGCACTACTATAAAGTGCCAATAAAAAATGTGGAAAGAAATTTGTTTTGTGGCATCATTTCTGAACTAATTATATAGTCAAAATCCATGTCAACTTAACATCAAAAGTAGCTGATAAGCTCTGACATAACCAGTCAGTACAACTAAGTGCTACATTTTAGAAAAATACATTTAGAAAAAAATTCATGATACTACTATAGGTAATAATATTGGCAGCTGTCCTCTCAAAAGCATGCCCAGATATTTTAAATGTTCTCTGTGTTGGTTAATTTGAGAACTTAACTTAGCCAGCTATTTTTGGATGATGTTGGAATTAATAAAATAATATTGATATGATCTTAGATTTTTGCCTTGTTCCAAAACGTGTTTTTATTAAAGATAATTTAAAGTGGCTTCATACTTACTCATTACAGTTTGAGTTAAGCCACACGGTGGTCAGTTGTCCTAAGTGCACTATAGACATGGGCCAAATAGTGGCTCAACTAAAGAATGAAAACTATGTCAGTCAGATTAATTTTTAAAAGATTAACTTGTTGGAACAATAAGAAAGGGAGTAGCCCTCTGAAAATTCCTTGGCATAGTTAATTATCCAGTATTGCCATGGAGTGAAACATTGCTTGAGAATGAGGTATTTTTCCGAAGTGATAGAATTTCACAGGTCACTTCAATATTATTGAATTAGTTAATGCTCTAGGGTGCAAAAAGTTATTTTATTCAAGGAGTTCAGATTCTTTACTAAGGGATTAATGCTGGTGCTACTTAGGAAATTGGGCCTATGCTTTTTGCTAATATTAATATTCAAAAATACTTCATTAGATTCAAGCATTAAAGGTAGAAACCTGGGATAAAATATTTCCTCAGCACTAGAGCCAGCCCCACAGAAATGCCTGAATGCTCTCTGACTCAATGTGAGGGCTTGCCATCTTTTTGTAGAGAACAAACAATTCTCCAGAAACACAACATCTTTCTTAAGGGCCATTGAATTCAGCTATTTCAACTGAACTTAATGATCTTTCCTGCTAAATATGGAGATGTTAGTTATTTAGAATATGTATGAAAAAAAGGGGCTGGGGATGTGGCTCAAGCGGTAGCACGCTGGCCTGGCATGCGTGCGGCCCGGGTTCGATCCCCAGCACCATATACAAACAAAGATGTTGTGTCCGCCGATAACTAAAAAAAAATATATATATATATTAAAAAAAAAAAGAAAATGTATGAAAAAAAGCACAAACTGAAAGGGAAAAACACTCTTGGAAATTCTTTTGGGTAGAGGTTGGAAGGGTGAAAGTGAGTCACTGTGCACACATCAGCAATCTGAGCTCATTGTTCAGGTCAGCAGTTAAATTCTGTTTCCCCACCCTGAATAGAATTATCTGTGCTGCCTTTTCTCAGGTCTGTCTGTCTGTCTCTGAATAGGATTATCTGTGCTGCTCTTCTCTCAGGTCTGTCTGTCTGTCTCTCTGTGGCTCCCTGCATTGTTTTGAGGACCAGCTCAGGTTTTAAGGCTTTTTGTGTCCTGACCACTCAGTTCTTTCTGAAATGCTAGAAATAACTTTAAAGATTTAAAAGTCTTTAAAGACAAATCTATGTACTTTAAAGCTTTTTCTTAATAGCATATAGAACAACAACATAGGAGTGAGTTTTTCGGATAATCCCTAAAGGCCCGCAACCTTTGCATGAACTAAAGTTAACCTTTTAAACTTCACACCTGAAGATGTATCCTTGCTTGTCTCCTGGCCCCACTTAAAAATCCTATGGGACAGTCTGATCATGAGCAATTTTAGGAAATGACTCACAAATTACTGTAGACTCAAATGAACAGAGGACTATCAGCCAAATTGCAAATGTTCTAATGTGTAAGTGGTGCGGGATCTCCCAGCACGCTCAGAGATGCCCTGAAAGTCATACATTTGATATTTAAAACATTCTCTAATTGAGGGAGCAAAAGAAAGAGCTCACACACATATACACCTTGGGCTTAAATATACATATGTGCATATAGATCTATTTAAAGCCAAATATATATTTAGGTAGAAATAAAGAATTGATGTCATTTTGTAAATAAGCTTAGGCATTTACGGTACACAGAAGCAGAAAAAAGGTGAATGAAAACATGAAACGCACCATACTCTGGGACCTGTCCTGTGCCTCTCTTTAGCAGCAGCCTCACTCTTCTTCCTCCAGATTTGATGAGTTCTATTGCTCTGGCGTGCATCATGTCCCTTGTGCTTTCCCCATTGATTTCAATGATTTGATCTCCTACCTGTTAATTAAAGAAACATCAAGTCAGTCAAAGATGGTTTTGTACTCAAGTTGCATTTTACAGGTTAAAAAGAGCATCCCTAGAAAATCTGTTTCCTAAGAGACCCTGAGTAGTTTGGTTGCCGTCTGCTGCTTCTTAAAAGAGACCAATCCCTGGCTGAATTCTGAACTTCCCTAAACTTAACTAGATGGCAGAGGTTGTGGTGCTATCCCGCCTACCCTTGGCCAACATGGCAGATGCTGTACTTAAACTTATTTATTAGAACATATGTCTGATACACAATTTAAAAAAAATGTGGCATCTTTGAATCAAGAAGTAAATATGTTGCCGGGCACTGTGGTACATGTTTGTAATCTCAGCATCTTGGGAGGCTGAGGCAGGAGGATCAAGAGTTCAAAGTCAGCCTCAGCCAAAATGAGGTGTTAAGCAACTCAGTGAGACCCTGTCTCTAAATAAAATACAAAATAGGGCTGGGGATGTGGCTCAGTGGCTGAATGCCCCTGAGTTCAATCCCTGGTACCACCCCTTCCCCCAAAATGAAGCAAATATAATAATTGAACATACTTCCAGGTTTCAGCTTGCTGCAGTATTTAATTCAGCATTTTGGAGCGAATGAATGTTTTGTTGTTCCTCTCTGAGGATTCTTATTATGTATCACTTAAATTTCCCTGGGTGTTCTTGCAATATTGCCCTCATTGTAACCAGTGGTTGGTTGATATTCAAGTTTGATGATGAGTTTTCTATCACAGTCCCTTGATTTAAAAAACGAGATCCTTTATTCTTCACACATGACTAATGCCCTCATTAAATCCTTGCCATGCTCACACCTGGTCGCCAGAAGCTATTTGCTTAAGTAGCATTCCCTCCTGAATTGTCAAAAATGCCTGGGTTCCACAAGCAATTCCCATTTTGCCTGTGTGAATAAATATTTGAAATAAAAGAGGTTCAACCATGAGCACATCATGTAATTCCCACAATACTGTTACTGCCAGGAACCTTTGAATGAAAATATGTTTCATTCTAGTGCAAGTTATTCAAGACAAATTAGCCAGGAAAAACACAATGAGTTGTTTTGCAAAAATGCTCTTCTAGTTGGGGCCCTTAAAGCAGCTCTCAGCCTAAACTCTGTAATGGAGACGGAACTGCCAAAACAATTACCCAGGTTGGGCAGGAACAGGAACCAAAAGTTGCCACACAAAGGCAGGAAGGCATTGAGATAAGACCCCCAAAGTCTGGGGAGGAAACAAACATTTTTGTTGAGTGAGGAAGTGATGTACCTACTTCAGAAGGACTCAACCAGGGATCCTTACCCTTCCCAGTATAATGAAGGTAAAGACATCCCTTTGTGCACTTGGTGGACTTTGGAAGCACAGTTTTGGGGCAGTGCAAGAGGAAAGCCTTCCTGGCATGACTTCCATATTCCCCCGAAGAACCATAAAGACAAGACTGAATTTGTTTCAGGGCCAAGATCTTTCTTCAGCTTTCCTTAGTTTTCTCCTTTCCTCCAAGACAACAAGTACAACCTGGAGTCGAATAGCTATGTAGCTAAATCAGTGGCTGAAGTGGGACCAATTATCTGTCCCAACTGCTTCCCACCATTCTCACCTACAACTGAAACTTCGTGGCACAGTATTAAATTATAGAATGAAACAAAAGTTCCAAAGAGGTTACATATAGGCTTCCCTCCTGGCTTGGCTCTCTTCTGAGCCTCAGACCCATACTACCTCCAATGGACTGCTAAACATCTCCTGCATGTCCAACAGTAACTGAACCTCAACAGCACCAACTGGGGCTTAGGCCTTTCTCCCAAGGCAGTTTTTTTCCTCCTAAATTCTAATCCTAGTTAATGTACCACCATTTATCAAAGCCAGAGCATGGGGGTCATGCTGGACTCCTTATTTCCACAACATCTCTGCAACTGTCCTGTCCTCTACTGACTAGATCCATTTGGATTTTTACTTGGATTATTCCAATATTCTGTGGCCACTCTTTCCCCATCTCTACTTATTTTGTTTTTTTTTTTTTTTT